CATAGCGTTTGTATACTTACTTAGGTCTACCACTATGCAAAAGAAGAGCGATTTCGATTTTTTGAGCCTTGCCACGAATTGACATTTTTGGTCGATTTTTGTATGGATTCGCTGTTAAGTGTCTTGAATCTCAAGTGGAGAGATTCTAGGGGGGATGATGAACTTCACATGAAGATGTCTTAGAAAGAAACTTGAAATTGTTAAACTTTTAACTGTTATTGTTACTGTTACTGTTATTTTCTTATATGTCTTCTTCAGTGTCTTGAATATCAAGCATAGAGATTCCAGGTTAGGACGAGGTAAAAAAGTTTGAATATTTATTTAGCCTGAGTTACAATCTGGTGTATTCTGGAGGCTTAAAGCTGGTATTCCATTATCCAGCTAATGATCTTAACATGAAACAAGACAGAGAAATGATAAAACCTTGGTTCAAAATAGCACCATTTCTTTCTGATGATTAAAAACATGATGCACATCACAATCTACTGATGAAGCTGTATTGACATTAAAAGATAAAAAGATGAAGAAGTTAACTTTGAAGGTGGAACCACCAAATCAACCAATTTCAGCAGCAACTGAGCGCAACCTTACCATCCCAGATGAACCTTCACCCAAGAGCACACTGAGCATGATGCTGTGACTACTGCAGTGGCTGATGCTGTTAAACCAACTGCAATGTCTACCTTGTTTGCAGATGTCTATATAATCAACGTACAAAAAGCAAAGTCAAAGGAGGATATCTGTGAGGCAGAAGTTTCACTCTACCAGAAAGAGCCTTCGATACATGCCAGTGAGAATCCCCCCACTTAGTGAAGTTAATATTAATACAGTGTATGAGTTTCCATCATTGGCTCTTGTTGCAAAGAAGTACTTATGCACTCCAACAACATCTGTCCCAACTGAAAGTGTAGACAAGCTGGAAACCAAACCAGTAAAACCATACAAAAAGGCATACATTGATATAGACTGATAAACTATGTGCCTCATGGCTACTTATAGAAGTGACTGTTGTAGTGTCTTATATTGCATTACGAGTATGCGCACTGGGTTGTTATTACG